TACATCTATAATAATACAGCATACAGGCAAGATGGTTGTAATTTAATGCTGTTTTTATCCCCAAATAAGATTTAGTAGCTAAAGCACAACAATTAGCAGTTCCTGCTCTAAACTGATTATGTCTAAATTGTTATAGCTACAGGGCAAGTGAAGCACATGGGAACAAAAAGCAGAAAGCTGGGCCAGCAAATGGCAGAATTAGTGGCTGGTTATGGATGCTTCATCCACCCAATTTACTACTGTGATGAGGAAGGAAACGTTCTTGAATTGTGCATGCCCACCATTATTTCAACATTACATAATTTTATTGGGGGGGAAGATACATTGAAAGCAAGTCTTCCAACAGCTAGGGGGAAGCAGCTGACCAACTTTTCCCTTACAGAACTACAATGGACAAGGTTTTTCTCCTTCCTATTCTTGGGAAACAACCCACAAACTTTTAACTCAGAAGAGTTCCACAACATGGCATGGCATCGTATAGTTCAGAGACATCCATAGAGGGATATCAAAAAAGGGGAAATGCCAGCCACACAACTACATTTAACCCTTTGTAATATGCAACACATGGGCTTTAACTGCATACTCACGTCTGCTGTCTTGACTTTTTTGACACCTGCCCCTCCTCATAGCCCCCACGAATGCTGCTTTAAGTCCATATCTGTAGTAGTTATCCAAACAGAGAGGGACAGAGAGAGAGACACACACACACAGAGACAGAGATAATCTATATCTAAATATAAATATAGATATATGAAATATTTTAACTAAAATAACTACGGTAAATCATTTTGAACAATGTGTCCTATGTCCTTTTCGGTAGCCAGTTTTTGGTGGTTGAGACATTAAAACCTCATCACCTATTAAAACCCTGGTGTTGTCATTCAGTGCAGCTGACTGGAGGTCCTGGTACAACCATTCCTCCTATACTAATTCAGTCAGAGATCTGCAAATCTTGGGGAAATGTACAAAAATTCACAACTACCTTGTTTGTATGGTTGATGTTTGTTTGTTTACCTATTTATCTGCATTATCCATTTTTATATATCTACTCAAATCTATTTTCTATCTATCATCTATCTATCTATCATCTATCTATATGCTTATGCCTATGCCTATGCCTATGTCTGTCTGTCTGTCTATCTATCTATCTATCTATCTATCTATCTATCTATCTATCTATCTAATCATCTTTATTGGAATAACTTCTCTGCAGCTGCTTCCTGGAAACTAAAAATGAATTGCTGTAGGCTGCTTTTCATATCATGAGAATAAAATCCTCAATTGTAAAATTATCTCCCCTCCACCCTCCAGGCATTGAAGAAATGCAGCTTATATTAATTTCCCCTGCCCAGGTAATGTAAATGGGGAGGCAGTGATGTAGCAATTCTATGGTCAACTAGGAGCAGGAAGACCCAGGTTCTAGTCCAGTCTCACCCACAGAAGGTCCCTGGGTGACTTTGGGACATCCCACTCTCTCAGCCCAATCTACCCAGCAGGCTCATTGAGGCATGGGAACGGAGGAGGAGGAAGCACCACATATGTCACCATGACCTCCAGTACAAAAAGCAGGGTACAAATTAAACAAAGAAAAATTAATAAATAAATGGTCATAGTATCCCAACTAGTAAAAACTAATTGTGTACTGTGAGATCATTTAAGAAGGTGCCGGCACAGTAGTAGCAAAAAAGATTAAAAATCCACCCCTCATGGCAATAAGGCTCAAATATAAATTGAATTTAAAGGCATTGTATGCATGTAGAACACACATAGCAATTTCCTATTCTTTTGAATCTGGCAATGGCTTTGGGTATGGTGGAATATAGTCAGGATTCCCAGGAGGGAGGGGCTGTATCTTTGGCAAGATTTCTATCAGTGAGGAACAGTAAAGAAAACTGTGTTGAAGTATCTGTCTTTCTTGATTTTTGGCGCCTGACATCTGAGTCACAGAGAACCAGACATTCTTAAATGGTTTCGCTATTGTAGTTGATAAGTTCACTTTCTCCATATACCTTGTGGTTTGTATGTTTTAATAATGTTAATTTTTAATAATGATCTGTATATTTTTATAATTATATATTTGTTATTTTAGTTGATTGTTGTACATTGCCCTGAATCACTTCTTGTGAGATAGGTAGCCATATAAATTTATAAGCAATAAAATTGGACTTGCCTTAAATTGACCTGCTTCCCCCCTTCACAAGGCTCTGAATTTGCTTGATGCCTCTGGTGCTAAGTCTTTTAATTTGGAAGCCTGACAACAGAGCCTCTTCATTTATAAACTGTGCTTCATGAACGGCTTGTGCTGGAGAGCAGGATATATTAAGTTTAAATAAATAAAGGCCAGCATTATTCAACAAAGAAAGCCCTTGGAAATATTCAAAACACTGTATGTCTCTTGTACGTTATATTCTTAAAAGTGATGCTGTGCGGTTGAATCATATGAAGTGGAGCTGAAGCTTGGACTGTAATGGGTTTAAAGATACTACGTAGTGAGTTTTTGGCAAAGATACAACTATGCTTCATCACTTCTGCTAGGAAAGTGCCAAAGAAGTAAGAGGGGAACAGAGGAGAAAAAAAAGGCAATGTGGTATATAATGTGATGTCAGTGGTCACCTTGTCTATCACATGTAAAGCTATAAGAAAGCAAATTGATTCTTCTGTCTTCCCTACCACCACTGGCAAGTCAAGCAATCAGTTAAGATTCAAATTGAGAATTTCTACATTGTTATCTAACCTCTTTATGCTATGCCAGCTTTCCATTCATCTTTCTTTTATTTTCTCCACTTTATTTGAATTCATGTTTCTTCTAATATGAGTCTGAAAACCATGCCTTCCAGAGCCTTAAGAAAGGTTCTCATGAACAATGAAAATTTCTCATGAACATTTCTCATGAAAATTTCTCATGAACAATCATGTTGTCCTGCCCTGGGGGATTCTCATTAAGATCACTGAGTCAGCGTGGACAAAGAAGCACAAGAATTAGTAATTAGTTATTTGAGATTTATCAGGCTGTGAGTCAGGGAGGAAGCCCTTCCTTCCTTCCTTCCTTCCTTCCTTCCTTCCTTCCTTCCTTCCTTCCTTCCTTCCTTCCTTCCTTCCTT